ACAGCTCTTCCAAACAAAGCAGAGTACAAATAGTTGTTCGGATCCAGCTCCGGTAGCAGAGCTAGTTCTGATGATTTTTCGATTGCTGTGACGAACAACTTTGTACCTCATCTGCAGCCTTTCTAAAGCTGGGCTCCCGATCGAGCTGAGATCAAGACGGCGAGCGGGAATAAGATCGAATATCACGGGAAAAAATACTAGAGCTCAAACGAATCGTTGAATTTCCACAACAAAATTTTCAACCGACCACAAGTCATCAAAAGGTCCGTCGAGATTTTTCTTGCCAACTTGGAACCGGCGGTAAACCGTCAACCAGGCTACCGCCGGGCACCTCGTAGAGCTCTTTTTTTGCACAGCGCTCCTCGGAACACATGAAGGAAGCTTCTGAAGCGAGAGCCGAAAAACTCGAAAAATCACAGATTTTCGGTTTTCATCCAAAGTCGGTTCCTCCAAGTGTTTGAATAGTAATACTGACCCTGGAGCCATAAAATATCAATCAGCAGGTGCGCCATAGCTTACTATAGGGAATGAAAATCTCACTCTTGAAAACGAACTTCAAAATTTTGCATAAAGTGAAAAAACCGACCCCAGGTTACCACATCCTCTCTTTTGGTCGGGCCGGCCAACTAGCTCCACCCTGCGCCCGAATTCCTCTTGGCTCTTTGCCGAAGCTCTACGAGGTATGCCGAAGAGCTCTACGAGGCACTGGGAACCGGCGGTAAACCGTCAACCTGGCTACCGCCGGGAACCTCGCAGAGCTCTTTTCTTGCACGGCGATCCTCGGAACACATGAAGAAAGCTTCTGGAGCGAGAAACGCAAAACTCGAAAAAACACGTCTTTCTGTTTTTATCGAACGTCGGTTCCTCCAAGTGTTTTGATAGTAATACTGCACCTACGGACCTGAGAATTTGACTGGCAGACGCGGCACAACCCAGTGCAGGTGCCGAAAATCTGGTTTCTCACAATGAATTGTCAAATATCTATTTTTTCACATCTTAGGAAATACGACCCAAAGATACCACATTGTCTCTTCTCGTCGGGTCGACCAACTAGCTCCAGCCCGCATGGAATTCCTCTTAGCTCATCGATGCCGAAGAGCTCTACGAGGCACTGGGAACCGGCGGTAAACCGTCAACCAGGTCACCGCCGGGCACCTCGTAGAGCTTTTTTTTTGCACAGCGCTCCTCGGAACACATGAAGGAAGCTTCTGAAGCGAGAGCCGGAAAATTCGAAAAATCACGATTTTTCTGTTCTTATCCAAAGTCGGTTCCTCCAAGTGTTTTAATAGTAAAACTGCCCCTAGAGCCATAAAAATTAATCAGCAGGGGCGCCATAGCTTACTATAGCGAATGAGAATCTTACTCATGAAAACGAATTTCAAAATTCTGCATATTTTTCCTTTCACCCAACAAAAAAAAGTTACCACATGCTCTCTTTTGGTCGGGCCGGCCAACTAGCTCCCCCCTGCGCCCGAATTTATCTTAGCTCTTTGCCGAAGAGCTCTACGAAGTACTTGGTAGCGTCCAAAACCCGGAGAGCGAAGAGACCCTCGGGGACGGACAATCTTTCCTGGAGAGCTCTGGGGCCCCCCCTGAGGCGCTTCGAAGGCGCTGCCGCGCACGCCTCCGTGCGTGCCTGCCCGCGCGCAGGCACGCGTGGACGCGTGCCGGGAGCGCTCCCGGACCAGCTGCTGGCACGGGCAAACCTCTGCGAGGATCGTGGAGCGGCGGAGATGGGCTGCTGGCGGGCACTACCACCGTCCGGCTTCTACTCTGAAACCCTCTAGCTCTCAGAGAGCTCTCCGGGAACAATGTTCGCCCAACCGGCCCAAGGTTCGCACATTGTCCGTCGGGGCAGGGTCGGCCAACTAGCTGCACCCCGCGCCCGAATTCCTCTAGCTCATCGATGCCGAAGAGCTCTACGTGGCACTGGCGCCGGCGGTGAACCGTCAACCTGGTCACCGCCGGAAACCTCGTAGAGCTCCTTGAACTAGTGAGAGTACTCAGAATCGAAGTAGGAAAACAAAATGAGATGTTCATAAAATCTTGTTTTTTTTGATTTTTTGATGTTCATACTAGCTCGGTTCCCGGGAAACAACTCATAAGAAAATGCATCAGCAGAGCTGAGCTGGTCTCAGAGTAAAGCTTATATGCGAATGCTGAGCGTAAAAATCTGCGCTCTTAGAATGAATGATCAAAAATCTCTCAAATCTTAGCAGAACCGACCAAAAGTTGTCACATTGTCCGCACGGGCCAGGTGCTCCAACTAGCTCCACCCCGCGCCGGAATTCCTCTAGCTCATCGATGCCGAAGAGCTCTACGAGGTACTAGCTCCACCCCGCGCCGGAATTCCTCTAGCTCATCGATGCCGAAGAGCTCTACGAGGTATGACGAAGAGCTCTACGAGGTATTCCTCTAGCTCATCGATGCCGAAGAGCTCTACGAGGCACTAGCTCCACCCCGCGCCGGAATTCCTCCAGCTCATCGATGACGAAGAGCTCTACGAAGTATTACTCTTAAGCTTCCAGCATCTAGCTGGAAGCTCTACGAGTTACTCTCTAGCTCTCAGAGAGCTCGCCGGGGACATTTGGCAGCGTCCACAACCCGGAGAGCGAAGAGACCCTCAGGAACGGGAAATCTTTCCTCGAGTGCTCTGGAAAGCTCTCCTGAAGCGCTTCTGAAGCGCTGCCAGGCACGCTTCCATGCGTGCCTGCGCGCGTGCAGGAACGCGTGGACGCGTGCCGGAAACGCTCCCGGACCAGCAACGACCCCACACAGGTCGCTGCGGGGATTCTGGAGCGGCGAAGATGGGCTGCTGTCCCCGCGTGCCTGCACGCGTGCAGGCACGCATGGAAGCCTGCCGGGCAGCACTGCAGAAGCGCCGCGGGAGAGGCCCCCGGGGCTCTCCAGGAAGGATTTCCCGTCCCCGAGCGTCTCTTCGCTCTCCGGGTCTTGGACGCAACCAAGGTTTGAAAATAAGTCATATGGCTTCCCTTAGCTAGTTGCTGGAAGATACAGAGTAACTCGTAGAGCTTCATTAGTTCGTTGCTGGAAGCTTCACTGGCGCCGGCGGTGAACCGTCAACCTGGTCTTTTGCGTCTTTTGCGAAGGCTGGTTCGAGCTCCCACGGGAGCAGGCCTAAACACAAAGAACCTAAACAGCGAAGCTGTACAGGAAGACAGCGAAGCTGCAAAGATTAAAGCAGAGGTGCATCAAACAGCGAAGCTGTACAGATATGCACAAGACTGCCAATACACGAGAAGACAAATAAAAATAGAAAGAGGGAAGCAAAGCAGTGCGAGACCATGCAGTAACCACATATAGCGATTACCGTCTCAGCACCACTGAAATTAAAAGCAGTGTAGTGTCGACTAGATCAAAGGCCTACTTTGAGGCACCACGTGACAAATCACGGAAAGTCACGTTCAAAGGTCAATGAGCACTCAAATCAAGGAAACAACGAATGACCTACTTTGATGGATCCAGCGAAGCTCTTATTCAACACACGCGCATGCACGACAACACACACAGGCATGAAGAAAGGCAACGCAATGACAAATCAAGCGTGCAGGATTAATCACATGTGCATCATCTGTGCCGTTTCCGATGCTTCTTGCCGCTCCACGTCAATGCACTCCTGGAAGTAGAACTCTGAGGACCCCCTTGTTGCGAATCATCCTCCTCGGAACTTTCAATTCCCAAGTGCAGCCTGTATGCATTAAGAGCCTCAGTCCTACGCTGAAACTCCTGTGTCGGGAGTCGGCATAGCTCAAGCCAAAGAGCCCTTACATCGTCATTGGCACGGGCCCAGTCCCTGGCAGCTTGACACTCAGATCGATTGCTCTGCAACTCATCTGAACAGAGCCGGGAAGAAGATGCACAGTTATCTTTACGCTGGTCAACTTCGCACTCCCCGTGGGTTTTCGAGGATGCCAACGGCAGCGCCTCGGGGCCTCCACCCTCCCTTTGCACTCGAGAATAATCCAAAGGAACTGAGCGCAGAGAATAATCCAAAGGAGCTGAGTGCAGAGAATAATCCAAAGGAACTGAGTGCAGTACAGCATCATTTGATTGAGAAGCAAGCGACGCTTCTTCAGCAGCAACTGCCGTAGAACTCTCCACGGACTCAACATGAACATTATCCTCCTCCTCGTCCTTGAAATCCTTAAGATCCCCCTGCCAATCCTTTCCATGGCAAGCTGAGTCTCCGTCAGAAGCTGAAGTGTGGCAACCTTCAGGGCGTGAGGCCGTATATAGTGTATGATGAGAATAATGCAACTGCTGATTCAGAAACTCCTTATTCTGCAACCCCACATCCTGCAACTCCTCATCATGCAACTCCTCTTTCCGAACACCTGGGTCAACAGAAGCCGACAGAGTGTCAGGAAATGGAGTGTGGCAAACTTCAGAGCTTGAATCCAAGAAAACAGTATGCTGAGAATAATGCAACTTCTCATTCAGCACCTCCTCACTCTGCAAATCCTCATCCTGCAACTCCTCGTCCTGCAACTCCTCATTCTGGACACCAGGATCAAAAGAAACAGAGCCCAGTCTCGACTGCAGCCCATCATCTGGAGACTGCACCACATCTGGAGAATACGCAACCGAATGAGACGAGAAAGCTTCTCCACGATCAGTTGGCCCAGCGGGTTTAGCGACTCCGTCGAATGAGTCCGGCACAACACCCAGAGCCTCTAGCAGACAGATCTCTGGAGACTGCACCACGGCTGGAGACTGCACCACCTCAGGAGACTGCATCACCACTGGAACGCACTGCAGAGTATGGATGTCAAAGAGGGCTTGTCGAAACATGGCGAGTTTCAGCCTTCTCGCCCCCCGCCGCCACGACGAGGATGGGAAAGAAGAAACAGGATAAGATTTGGCGTACAATGTAGAGGGCGACGAGGTGCAAAATTGCGTTGTCATGGCACCACACAGCAAGGGGCACTCCAATACAACAATCTGACTCCACCCACTGCAGAGACAAGAGGTGCTCAAGCCTCCATCGCGAGGGCGCCGAGGCCCGAGAGGAGAGAGATGGACGGGCGGCCGAGGGCGGGCGGGCCGCGGCGGGGGGGGCCACCAAGGAGTCCCCGACGGCACCCAAGGCCTCCCGAAGGAGACCCTGGTCCCCGCCGGGAACCTCGTAGAGCTCCTTACACTGGTCAGAGTGCTCAGAATCGAAGTAGAGCCATCAATAAAGATTTTCCTAAAATCTTCATTTTCGATTTTTTCTATGTTCGTATTGACTCGGTTCGTGGAAGTCAACTCGTAATAAAATACATCGGGTGAGTTCACCTGCTGCCAGAGAGAAGTTTATATGCCAATGCTTCGCGCAAAAATCTGCTTTCTCAAAATGACCCAGAGGCCTTGATTCTTGAGAATCTTGAGGCTTATCATGTAATATCATCTAAGACTAAAATCGAGAATCCTCATTCATTACAATGCTATTACCTGGGCATGTACTACTTGTACCCAAAAAAAACTCACTCGCCCTTCCCCCCTGCACCTTCGTCGTCGGCGTCGTCGGTTTCAGCGTCGTCGTCTTGAACGCATCCACGCTGGTTTAATTTGTTCGCAGTGACCGCCAGCAAACGCCAGATATGTTTTCTCTGGATGTTTTTTGACTGAGGATCTCACGGTGTTTTTCTGGTCCAGTTGTAGCCGTTGAATTCCGACGGCGTTTGCTGGCGGTCACGGCGAAAAAATTGAAACAGCGTGGATGCGTTGAAGACGACGACGAAGATTTGTTTGATACCGAATGCAGCCACGTTGGCTCAGATGTCCCAGAAGGTCGCGTGGACAGGGAAAGTCCCAGTGGACGCCTGGCGCACACCGATCGGCCAGGCAATTTCGAAAGGCCGCAGCCGCATGAGCTCGCCGCGAACGTCGCCACGGGCGTCGCCACGGGCGTCGCCACCAGCTTCGCCGACGGCGTCGCCGCGGGCTTCGCCGCCAGCGTCGCCACCAGCGGCTTCGCCGACAGCGTCGCCGCGTGCTTCGCCACCAGCGTCGCCACCAACAGCTTCGCCACCAGCGTCGCCGCGGGCTTCGCCGACAGCGTCGCCGCCAGCAGCTTCGCCGACAGCGTCGCCACCAGCAGCTTCGCAACCAGCGTCGCCACCAGCAGCTTCGCCACAAGCAGCTTCGCCACCAGCAGCTTCGCCGCCAGCAGCTGCGCCACCAGCAGCTTCGCCACCAGCAGCTTCGCCACCAGCAGCTTCGCCACCAGCAGCTTCGCCACCAGCGTCGCCAAGCACGCCGACGAGAACGAAGCGCGAGCTGCTGGAGGTCAAAGCGCCGACCAGCCCGGCGCGCACGCCAGGACACAACACGGGCCATGACGCCCAGCTCCCGTGCGGCACGACGGCAGCAGACTTCCTGCCTCAGTTTCGCCCCGACTGCAGCGACCTCGATGACACGCCCAATCGGCAGAAGAACGACGACAAGTTGCAGGCTGCATTGGCGCGCTGCAGCGGAGACGGCTACGGCAGCGACGCCGACATGATGATCAGCAGCGACGACGCGAACCTCACGGATGCCATCAGGCGGTCCAGGAGCATCGACAGCCAGGACGAGGACATGATGGCCATCGCCATGCAGCGGTCCAAGGCGCACATGCACCGCGACGACGACGACGACGCGCCGAGCGCCACCGCGGCGCCTTCGGACTGCACAGGGTAAAACGAGGGGTTGGGGATGTTAGTTTCAGGCATGCCATGTTTGAGCGGGCGAGGTCTGACTGATAATGGGACTTATGATGAGGAGGGTGAAGAAGAGGATGAGGAAGGGGAGGAAGGAGGATGAGGAGGATGAGGAAGAGGAAGATGATGATGATGAGGAGGAGGAGGAGGAGGAGGAGGAGGGGGGGATGGAGGAAGAGGAGGAGGATCGATGATGAGGAGGGGGGGAGAAGGAGGAGGAGGAAGAGGAGGAATAGAAGGGGGAGAGGAGACGGGGGGTGACGAGACATTGGCGGGAAGGACAAGGAAGATGACAAGGAAGGATGATGCTGAAGATGGGGGGGATGAGCAGGAGAAGGACGAGAGGGAGAGGGCTGCGAGGATGATAAGGGATGCGGGAGTGAGGGGGGGAAGGGGGGGGGGGGCATTATAACGAGGGTGAAGCTGAGGAGGATGAGGGGGAGGAGGACGAGGAGGAGAAGGAGGATGCGGAGGAGGAGAGGGGATGAGGAGGAGGAGAAGGGCGAGGAGGAGGAGGAGGAGACGGAAGAGAGAAGGAGGAGGTGGAGGAGGGGGGCATGCCGCACAGCGAACCACAGGACCTCCACGTGCGCGAGGTCTGCCCGACCGCCGAGCGCCAGGACGGCGCGCAGCCAGGGGGGGGATGACGAGGAGGATACTGACCTAGGAGGAGGTGGAGGATGAGGAGGAGGAGGAGGGACGAGGCGGAGGAGGAGAAGAGGACAAGGAAGATGAGGAGGAGGAGCACGAGGAGGAGGGGGGGCGGAGGAGGAGGAGGGGGGAGGAGGCGGCGGAGAAAAATGGGGACGAGGAAGACGAGAACTGGGCGCCGGCGGTAAACCGTCAACCTTTCTTACCGCCGGGGGACTCGTAGAGCTTCCTGACTGTATAGAATGTCGAAAAAAATTGCAGACAACGAATAGTTCTTCAGCCTAAGCGATTTCAAACCTCTCGATGCAACAGCCGACCGTCCCTGATGCTGCTGGATCGTTTTCTGTGCGCACGAGCTCCGTAGCTCTCCTACAGCCCGAGTTACGTGCGAAAATCGACAGCACCTCTCAAGATCACTCGAACAATAATAGCTTCGCGAACCTAGCTCGAGTATCAGACCGAGTTCAGACCTCTGAATGCAACAGGCAGACGCGCCTGATGTCTTTGAATCGATTCCTGTGATTACCAGCCCTGCAGCCCCCTTACAGCCCGAGTTAAGTGCAGAAAACCGACTGCACCTCTGAAGATGACACGAACAATACGAATAGCTTCGCGGACCTAGCTCGGGCAGCAGACCGAGTTCAGAGCTCTGAATGCGACAGCCGGACGCGACTGATGTCTCCGAATCGACTCCAGTGATTACCAGCCCTGCAGCCCCTTACAGCTCGAGTTCAGTGCAGAAAACAGACAGCACCTCTCAAGATGACTCGAAGAATACGAAAATTTTGCGGACCTAGCTCGGGCAGCACACCGAGTTCTGAGCTCTGGATTTGGCAGGCGGACGCGCCTGATGTCTCCGAATCGATTGCTGTGAGTACGAGCCCTACAGCCTCCCTACAGCCCGAGTTCAGTGCATAAACCTGACAGCACCTCTCAAGATGACACGAATAGCTTCACGAAGCTAGCTCGGGCAGCAGGCCGAGTTCAGACCTCTAGATGGAACAGACGAATGCGCCTGATGATTCTCAATCGATTTCTGTGATCATGAGCTCTGTAGCTCCCCTACAGCTCGAGTTAAGTACAAAATACCGACAACGCGTATCAAGATGACTGGAAACAGCCGATCCCGCCGCGACGCTTTTTTGCAGAAATATTTACCCGATCGAGCTGAGATTAAGATGGCGAGCGGGAATAAGATCGAATATGGTCAGAAAAATACTAGAGCTCAAACGAATTGTTGAATTTCGAGAACAAAATTTTCAACCGACCAAAAGTCAGCAAAAGGTCCGTCGAGATTTTTCTTGCCAACTAGCTCTCCAGCGCGCCGGAATTACTCTTACTGGGCGCCGGCGGTAGACCGTCAACCTTTCTTACCGCCGGGGGACTCGTAGAGCTTCCTGACAATATATAATGTCGAAGAAAATTGCAGAGAACGAATAGTTTTTCAGCCCAAGCGATTTCAGACCTCTCGATGCAACAGCCCAGCGCCCCCCGATGCTTCTGGATTGTCTTCTGTACGAGCTCTGTAGCTCTGCTACAGCCCGAGTTACGTGCGTTAATCGACAGCACCACTCAAGATGACTCGAACAAAACGAATAGTTTGGCAAACCCAGCTCGAGTATCAGACCGAGTTCAGACCTCTGAATGCGACAGGCGGACGCGTCTGATGTCTCCGAATCGATTGCTGTGATTACCAGCCCTGCAGCCCCCCTACAGCCCGAGGTAAGTGCAGAAAGCCGACAGCACCTCTCAGGATGACTCGAACAATACGAATAGTTTCGCGGACCTAGTTCGGGCAGCAGACCAAGTTCCGAGCTCTGGATTCCACAGGCGGACGCGCCTGATGTCTTCAAATCGATTTCTGTGACCACCAGCTAAGTAGCCCCCCTACAGCCCGAGTTAAGTGCAGAAAACCGACAGCACCTCTCCAGATGACTCGAACAATACGAACAGTTTCGCGATTCTGGATCGGGCAACTGACAAACGCGACTGATGATTCTGAATCGATTTCTGTAAGTATCAGCTCTGTAGCTGTCCTATAGCTCGAGTTACAGAAAACGAAGAACGTCTGTCAAGATGACTCGAATAATACGAATAGGTTTGCGGACCTAGCTCGGCTAGCAGACCGAGTTCAGACCTCTGGATGCAACAGATGAACGCGCCTAATCATTCTGAACCGATAAGGTGTGCTGACCAGCTCTGTAGCTGTCCTATATCTCGAGTTAAGTCCAATATACCGACAGCGCATATCAAGATGACTCGAAACGGCCGATCCCGCCGCAATGCTTTTTGGCAGTAAAAGGTACCCGATCGAGCTGAGATCAAGATGGCGAGCGGTAATAAGATCGAATATCACGGGAAAGACTACTAGAGCTAAAACGAATTGAGGAATTTCGAGAACAAAATTTTCAACCGACCAAAAGTCAGCAAAAGGTCCGTCGAGATTTGTCTTGCCAACTGGCGCCGGCGGTGAACCGTCAACCTAGTCACCGCCGGGAACCTCGTAGAGCTCCTTCCACTGTAAAGAGTGCTCAGGATCGAAGTAGACTCATAAAATGAAGATGTTTCCAAAATCTTAATTTTCGATTTTTTCGATGTTCATATTCGCTCGGTTCCTGGAAGTCAACTCTCACGAAAATACAGCGGGAGAGCTGAACTGCTGTCAGAGAAGAGTTTATATGCCAATGCGACGCGCAAAAATCTGCTTTCTCAAAATGGATTGTTAAATATCTTTCAAATTTTCGCAAAACCACCCAAAAATGCCACATTGTCCGTTCTGGTCGGGTCGACCAACTGGGCGCCGGCAGTAAACCGTCAACCTTTCTCACCGCCGGGGGACTCGTAGAGC